GCGCAAAACGCCGTGCTGTGGGGACGCCGCCCCCTCCCCCCCCACCCCAGGAGGTGGGGGGAGAAAAGTGACGCCCCCAACCACGGCGCTACCGACGGGGGGGAGGAGGGTGTGGCAGCGGTCCTCTCCCTCGGCCCCGGGATTCGGCGAGACCTGCTGCCTGGGGGCTGTAACACCCGCAGCCACTCGCGCGGCGCCAGGCCACCTGCCCGCCAGAGGCCTTCCCAGCTGACCCGGAGCCGGTCTCCGCGCACCACCATGGAGGAAATGCACCCGGCCAGGGCTGGCCACTGGCCGGGTGGCGGTCACCGCGCCGGCCCGCCCCCCCGGCCTGCCCCCGCGGATGGGGTTCGCCCAGGGGACGGAGGGGAGGCGAAAGCGAGGATCCGCCAAGCCTGCGCCAGCCGACCGAAACTCGCCAGGTTGAATCCTCCGGGCGGACTGCACGGGCCCCACCCGTTTACCTCTTAACAGTTTCACGCCCTCTTGAACTCTCTCTTCAAAGTTCTTTTCAACATTCCCTTATGGTACTTGTTGGCTATCAGTCTTATGCCGGTATTTAGCCTTAGATGGAGTTTACCACCTGCTTTGGGCTGCATCCCAAGCAACCTGACTCCGAGAAGCCCTGGGCCCAGCACGCCAGGGGGCTGCTACCGGCCTCACACCATCCGTGGGCTGCGGCCTTGATCACAAGGACTTGGGTCCCCTGAGAGCGCTGCCGGGGCGGGGGGCTTCTGTATGCCACATGTCCCGCGCCCCATCGCGGGGCGGGAATTCGGCGCTGGGCTTTTACCTCTTCACTCGCCGTTACTGAGGGAATCCTCGTTAGTTTCTTTTTCTCCGCTGACTAATATGCTTAAATTCAGCGGGTCGCCACGTCTGATCTGAGGTTGCAAGCCCAAAGCTTGGCCGCGCCGCGGGTGGGGGCACGAGCTGAGATGGCCGCCGTGTCTCCCCCGCCCGCTACGCCGCCAGTCCCCCCTCCTCTCCGCGCTCCCAGAGGGCGTCGGAGAGAGAGGCAGTGCACACGCGCGCGAGCGAGCAACAAGGAGACGGAGAGCCCCATCCTGGAGAAAAGAACCGAAAAGGGAGCGTGGCGGAGACGGCCCCGCGCGGGAGGACTGGCCGGGCAGCGGCGCGCGTGATGGCCTCGGCGGGGAGAGAGAGAGGAGCAACGGCGCCACTCGGTGCGCCCCAAAACCGCGACAGAAGAGGAGGGTTCGGGCGAAGGGAGGAGGGGATCGAAACCCCCGTCCCCGGCGCTCTCGCCTCGTGCGTGCATGCGGCAGCACGGCACGGTACTGCCGCAGTACCCACCCGCAGACAGCCGCCCACGCAGTGGGGGGAAGCCGGGGGCGAGGCCCGCGCCTCGCCTCCCCTTCTCGCCCTCCTCTCTCTTTCTCTCGGCCCTTGGCAGTGCATTTCCACGCTGTCTCTCGCTCTCCCCAGGCCGCCGCGCCACCTCATCCGCGGCACGGTCCTGGCGAGGACGAGCTCCACCCCAGTGGCTCGCTCTGGGAGCAGGGAGCTAGGGAGCGCTCCCCAAGTCTGCATTTAGGGGGACGAAGGCCCTGCGCGGCAACGACGCCGCCGACGACTGCGACGCCGACGACGCCCGCTGGGCCGCAGGGAAGGGATCAAGGCCCGCCTAGGGAAACGCTTCCCTCACCGAACCCCTGACCGCCTTCCCTCCGGGCACTGGCGGGACGCTGCTGCTGCCGCCGCCACCGCTGCCACCGCCCGCCGTGGGCAACAGGCCTGCGAGGCGACCCCAGCCACGCCGCCGGCGTGGCCCCCAGACGGCGATTGATCGTCAAGCGACGCTCAGACAGGCATAGCCCTGGGAGGAAGCCGGGGCCGCAAGTGCGTTCGAAGTGTCGATGATCAATGTGTCCTGCAATTCACATTAATTCTCGCAGGTAGCTGCGTTCTTCATCGATGCACGAGCCGAGTGATCCACTGCTAAGAGTTGTCTGCCTGTCGGGCACCGCTCATGCCAAGCGGGCCCCTTTTTATTACTCTGGCGCCGAGGACGCATGGGCGCGTGCCTGGCTTCGACTGTACGAGCACACAGAAACAGAAGGGGAAAAAAAAACAACTGGAGCAACCCACGCTCAAGTCCGGCCAAGTGGCGGGGGAGCCCGTGCCCCCGACCGCCTCCCCCCGCAAGGGAGACACCGACCTCACAAACGCCGTCCTTCAGAGACGGCCCAGGTGCCCAGGCTCGACCCGGCCTCTGTGCTGGGGGCCACGCGGTGCGCGCCAGAACGTGGGGGGGCACGGCGGCCCGCCCGCTTCTCGCTTTCACGGGACTACATGCACAACACACACGGCACACGGCCAGGGGCGCGCGGCCGTCGGGCCTCGCACATGCCGGCTTCCCTCGGTCCCCGACGCCGCGGGCCTTGCGGAGCGCCGCTGCACTGCTGTGCGGCCGGCTTTTCTCTTCCCCAACTGCACGGCCTTGCCCCGGCTTGAGACGGTACGCGACGACGACCGGCCCCCACCGACGCACCTCCCTCGGGACCGCTCCCTTGCCAGGCGGGCAAGCAACCAGCAGACACGCTCCGCCGCTGGCCCCGGAGGCGGGCGCCACCAAGACCGAAATCGGTGTCGCCAGAACCCGTGGCCTGATGGACAGCAGACCCCGCCGCTGCCGGGGCCGCACTCCCGGGACCGCCACCGCCATGTCGCACTGCCAGGGCCCCTTGCCTCAGGCACGTGCTTGGCAGAAGGCGCTACGGCGCTGAGCCGGGGGGCAACGCCCGCTCTCCTCGTTTTCACGCGGAGACCGGGCGGGGAGAAGCGCCCCTGCGGCCACCCCGCATGCCTTCCTGCGGCCCACACATGGCCGGGAAGGGCGCTGGAGGACGCGACGAGCGGGGCCTGATATGGGACCGCGGCCGGGCGATCGCAGGCGCCTTCTGGCCGACCATCCCCACAGGGAGGGACACCCGTCAAGCGGCGCCGCCACCGCTCAGCACAGGGTCGCGCGTGCTCCCGGGCCTCTGCTGCTGGAGGGCCCGCCGAGCCCTCGCCCCCCCAGCAGCAGGCAGTCGAGCCAGGGGACAGCTGGTGGACGATGGCGCCGCCGGTGCGCGTTTGAGGAGAAAAGGCCGTCGAGGGGAGGAGAGGCGCCGGACGCGGCGCCGCGCGCGCCAGAGACCGCAGCGGCGGGCCGAGGAGTGAGAGCGTGGGCGGGCCCTGGCAGCCGCTACCCCGGGGCCGAGGAAGGGCAGAGCGTGCGCGCTCTCTGACAGCGTTGCCCATTACAACAAGGCGAGCAGGTCGGCCCCCACGGCCGACAGCGCACTGCGGCCTCTCCACCATAGACGGGCCGCGGAGGCGGGGGCAGGGCGCCCCTCCATGGCACGACACGGTTAACCCCCGCGGCCCGCAGTGGGACGACGATGGCGACGGAGGAGCACGGCCAGTGGCGATGGGAAAACCACCGCAGGGGATTGGCGGGAGTAGCTGCTCCCTACCCCTCAGTGGCACCCGCACAGCCACTGCCCAGCATGCCTGCCAGCGCCGGCACCACCGTCACCACGGCGGGCCGCGCAAAGCCGCCAGAGTCTTTAAACCACCGCCTGGCCCCACCAGCCCCTTTCAGAAAACCCGCAGCGTTTGACGATGCCGAGGGAAAAAACCTGGGGGAACCACCAAGGCACGGAGTGCTATGTACCTGGCCCTGGGGCGAGGGAAACGACCTGCATGGACGCGCCGGGGTGCCTCACCCGCTGCCGCCCTCGGTGGAGCGTCCACCGGCGGGGGCGTGCCCGACATCTGCTGCCACAACCGCCATGTGCTTCTCGGGGCCCGGGGTTTCTCTCAGTACCCCGGCGCTGTGCAACCGAGAGGATTGCCATGGCTCGGGCCTCCCCGCCGGCGCAGGGGACGCGGGCCCGACAACAGAGCAAACCTCAGGCGCACATGCGCGCCACGAAGCACGGCCCGGAACGCCCGAAGCCCTCGGCCCTTGGAGTTCCTCTGGCACGCGCGAGAGGGGGGCCACTCAGCCCGAGAGCGGGGAACTCTGCCAGCCAGCAAAAGCCCCGATCCCCGAACTTCTTCTCGACACCCCAACAGGGCCGTGGCCAACGCCGCTGGGGCCGATACGAGGACCTCACTAAACCATCCAATCTGTAGTACCGACGGGCAGTGTGTACAAAGGGCAGGGACCTAATCAATGCAAGTTTATGACCTGCACTTACTGGGAATTCCTCATTCACGGGGAAGAATTGCAATCCCCGATCCCCATCACTAATGGGCTTCAACGGGATACCCGCGCCTGCCGGCGGAGGGTAGGCACAAGCTGAGCCAGTCAGTGTAGCGCGCGTGCGGCCCCGGACATCTAAGGGCATCACAGACCTGTTATTGCTCAATCTCGGGTGGCTGGACGCCACTTGTCCCTCTAAGAAGTTGGATGCTGACCGCTCAGGGGTCACGTAACTAGTTAGCATGCCAGAGTCTCGTTCCTTATCGGAATTAACCAGACAAATCGCTCTACCAACTAAGAACGGCCATGCACCACCACCCACGGAATCGAGAAAGAGCTCTCAATCTGTCAATCCTGTCCGTGTCCGGGCCAGGTGAGGTTTCCCGTGTTGAGTCCTGGTGGTGCCCTTCCGTCAATTTCTTTAAGTTTCAGCTTTGCAACCATACTCCCCCCGGAATCCAAAGACTTGGGTTTCCCGGGAGCTCCCCGGCGAGTCATGGGAATAATGCCGCTGGATCGCCAGTCAGCATGGTTTATGGTTGGAACTACGACAATATCTGATTGTCTTCGAACCTCCAACTTTCGTTCTTGATTAATGAAAACATTCTTGGCAAATGCTTTGCTCTAGGCCGTCTTGCGCCGGTCCAAGAATTTCACCTCTAGCGGCACAATACCAATGCCCCCGGCCGTCCCTCTTACTCATGGTCCCATTTCCGAAAACCAACAATATAGAACTGGAGTCCTATTCCATTATTCCTAGCTGCAGTATGCCGGCAGCCAGCCTGCTTTGAACACTCTAATTTTCTCAAAGTAAACGCCTCAGGCCCCGCGGGACACTCAGCTAAGAGCATTGAGGGGGCGCCGAGAGGCAGGGGCTGGGACAGGCGGTGGCTCGCCTCGCGGCGGACCGCCAGCTTGATCCCAAGATCCAACTATGAGCTTTTTAACTGCAGCAACTTTAAGATACGCTATTGGAGCTGGAATTACCGTGGCTGCTGGCACCAGACTTGCCCTCCAATGGATCCTCACTCAAGGATTTAAAGTGCGCTCATTCCAGTTACAGGGCCTTGAAAGAGTCCTGTATTGTTATTTTTCATCACTACCTCCCCGGGTCGGGAGTGGGTAATTTGTGTGCCTGCTGCCTTCCTTGGATGTGGTAGCCGTTTCTCAGGCTCCCTCTCCGGAATCGAACCCTGATTCCCCGTCACCCGTGGTCACCATGGTAGGCACGGACAGTACCATTGAAAGTTGATAGGGCAGACATTCGAATGGGTCGTCGCCGCCGCGGGGGCGTGCGATCAGCTTGAGGTTATCTATAGTAACCACAGCTGCTGGGCGGGCCCGGGTTGGTTTTGGTCTGATAAATGCACACGTCCCCGGAGGTCGGTGCTCATCGGCATGTATTAGCTCTAGAATTACCACAGTTATCCAAGGAGCGGGAGAGGAGCAACCAAAAGAACCATAACTGATTTAATGAGCTATTCGCAGTTTCAGTGTACCGCCCATGTGTACATAGACATGCACGGCTTAAGCTTTGAGACAAGCATATGCTACTGGCAGGATCAACCATGTAGCCGCCACCCACAGCGGCGCCGCGAAGCATTGCGCGAGTGCCCAGACGGAGTGCCCGGACGTGCCCCGCCCGCCGGCGAACCTGCCCCGCATCAAACCCCGACCGCCCCGGGCTTCTTTCGCCGCTCTGACCCACGGGAGCGGCATCAAGGACGAAGATACGTCAGCAGGCGGCAGCATGGCGGTGACGGGCGCCAGCGGCAGGGGTGCCGGCCGGCCGCATTGCGGCCTGGCGGCGCCTTGGGGCAGGGAAAGGCGCCACACGCGAGAGCAGCCCCTCATTGACGGCTGACCCCGGCGGCCGGCCCTTCCCGCGACGCCGCGGGCAAGGAGCTGGGACCGCTGCACAGCTTTTCGCCACTCGGATGGAGCGCGAGGCTTCGTCTCTCCCTCTCTCTCTCTCTCGCTTTTTTTCCCATGGCCCATGTCCCGGTTCAAGACTCGGCCTCGTGCTTGCAATGACACGCGCAGCGCACGGAAGTGGGCTTGGCCGGGGCTGACCTGCCCGCCGACCGGTCGCAGGCGAGGTTGGGCCGAGCGGGGCCCCGCTCACAGGGAGCGAACTCCATCCCGGCGTGTCCCCCCACCAGGCCACGTGGAAAGCCCCAAACTGCTAGAGGAGACAGCGACCCAACGAGGCGGGCATGGCCCAGACACCGAGGCCCCTTTTCAGCTGGGGCGGCTCACCCTGCACCAGGCTGCAGAACGGCAAAGGAGCGCGTGGACCGGGGTCTGTTCCACCCGCGCCCCATTCCGTTCAGGCACTTTCACCCTCTCTCTTTTTGTCTCTCGCCTCTCTCCCTTCTCACAGCTCAGCTCTAGCCGCACCGCCGCCCGGCGCTGCTCATGGCCGGCACCCACACAGGTGCTACCCGGACTGGGGCCGGCACTGGCACCTCGCATGGTTTTTTAAGGACACCTGAAGGCTCGCGGGGCCACGCGGCCGTCACACAGCTCGGGACGGTAAAGACGCCCTTCCCTAGGCCAGCGGGAGAGGCGACACCTCGCCTGCAACAGGAAGCGAATTGGAAAGGAGACCGCCCTGCCCGAGAACCGGACCCCCCCCGCTGTGGCTTCCCCGTGACAGAGAAGCCTCGGAAGGAGAGCCAGCCCGCTGGGGGCCCTCTCCGATACCACCAGAAAAGCCACATCGATCAGGTGCGGCTCTGGGAAAGAGCCGCACGAACGGAGACCAGGGCCCCACGGCCACGGTCCTGGGACAACGGCAACGGCCACCCAGCCCAACTTTGGATCAGATTGCTCGCGGCAGCAGAGGAGCGCGTGGGGTGCCGCCACCTGCCCGCGGCCAACAACGGCTCCCCTTTTGGCTAGGCAATGGCGGGACTGGACTGGCCCCCGCTGGGCCGGGGGGGGACTCGGCCGCCCCCGCCCCTTCCGGCCCAGGGAACTCGGCCGAGCGTGCGAGAAAAAGTGCCACCAACCTGGTGCCACGGGCCACCGGCTTGCGCCCATCCTCGTGGCGGTCGGCTTTCCCTTCCGGAAAAAAAAGCCGGGGGACGGCACGACAAAAAAGGCACATGGAGGCGTGTTCGCAACGACCCGTGCTAGCCACGGGGGCCGCGGGGCTGGGGGCCCGGGGGGGCAGGCCGAGGTACGCGCCTCACTACCTCCCCACGACTGACCCACCGGCATCCCGCTCGCGCCTTCGTCGCAACGCTTCTCGGTGCCGCAGCTGAGGGCCTCAAGAGAAAAATAAAAAGGCCCGCGGAGGCCTGGCGGGCACCCCCCCAACTCCGCCCACCTCAACAAAAAGCAACAGACCCGGCGCGGAAAACCCAGCCCCACCCGGCATAAGCGGCTCAGTTGATCCGGCCATGACCGAGGTAGGCGAGGCGCCGCCGCCTCGCCCAGGAGACCAGTCCGGGGGGGGCTCTCCGTCGGGTGCCAGGCTCACAAAAAAAAAAAAAAAAAAAACTAGGCCAAAAAATTCTGCCCGCCACAACGCGGGTCCCCGGCTTAAGGCTGAGGAAGGGCGATGGCTTCTACAATGCGGGCTGGGGACCACCACTGCCGCCGAGGCGGACCGACGGGCCCAAAACAACAGCAAATGATTCTGGAGCAGAGGCATTGCTTGGAGAAAACTCTCCCCTGCTCTGTCTGGGCAATCCTTAACCAGTGTGCTACATGGCTCTTGCTGCCAATTTCTTGCTCAACAGTGTGATAGATGAATCTGATTCGTGCTAACAACTGTAACTATATTTTAAATATTTTAGAAAATATTTGTTAAAAGTAAGAGAGGAAAAGGATATGGAATTAGTGTCACAAAACAGATATTTTCAGATGTTCATGAGAAAACAGGATGCAGGATGTAGTTTGAGATAAGTAACATCCCAAAAGGCAATAGGCCTCAGGATAATTAAAGAATCGGCCTTGACATGGACAAAATTGGGATGATTCCAGGTATCGATGAAATCATAAGGCTTCTTTTTGGAATATAATGCTGTCTTTTATAACAACAAGACTTGGGGTGCATGTGCAGCTTGTGGGGTTGTTCAAAAGACAGTGATGATGAGGAGAAGCCTTCGTGGGAAGCGACCACCAAAGCCAAAAGACCCCTTAGAAACAAGCAGAGCATGCACTGTGCAGTACAGTGACATAGATTTCAAGAATCAAAAATAGGAGGAGATTGACAGAAAATTTTGATGAATATGTATTAGCATCCTGTCTATAAGTTGTGATTGGATTCTTTATCTTTTGAATGGGAGGCAGGGTGAGAAAACCCCCCTGTATCCTGACTGGTTTTGCTTATGCTTTATCCAAACCACTGCCAAATTATTTTGTATCTGCTTGATTATATTTGATTGCAGGATTTCATATCAAATTGCTGCCAAATTAAAATTGCTGCTAAATTCTAATGTTGGTTTATTAAATTAGACATATAGAGACCTCATTCATAACAACAGCTCACCTCAGTCACCTACCCGTTGGGACTGTGCTTTCTACTGAGCCAGTCCTGCCAGAAAAGCAGCTTTAAACACACCTCCAAGAAGGCACTGATCCAGATAAAGCACATCCATTCCCCTCTGCCCAGGGCCAGTCCCCTGTACATCTGGCAGCCTGCAAAATCTAACACCCCCTCAGGCTCCAACACATTGTTCCAGCCCAAAGCATAAAGGCAATTTATTTTGTTAAATCTGAAGTCATTCCTGCAGGTCCTCGGCCTTCCAAGGCCAACACTGCCACTCCGGAGGGAATCCTGTGACCCCGAGCATTTGATGGTGACCGCACCAAAGCAAGAGGTGGCTCCTTCAGCAGGAGAATGGCACATGGCAATGCTGTGCCTTTGTGTCCCCAGCCTTCCCCCCATTGTTTCAGCAATGGCAGCTACACTTAGGCAGCTTCAGCAGAGCTTATTTGTGTTGGCTGAGTGCAGATCAGGACTCCCAGCCCACCTCTAACAGCAGCTTGCAATGACAACAGGACCTGCACACTGAGGTCTTTTGCTGGAGGCAAGCCTGTCACAAGCACACACCCTCTTCCAACTTCCCATCAAACAGAAAGGAGAAGAGCAGGAAAAGGCTACCTTTGGACCAGTCTTCCCCAGGTCTACACATGGGCCAATTCTGGGTAGAAAACTCCCGCCAGTGCTGGCCTTCTTCTTCATGTTGAGAAACTTCTCCCACAGGAACTTCGAGGGAAGCAGCTGAAAGGCAAAAATCAACCAGCTAGAGCCTCAGAGTTGGGCTTGTTCAGAAAGGCTTTGCTTGAACAAGTGGCACTGGTGAACAATTTGTGGTCACATTGTCCAGGACAGTCCTGGAAGCCCTGGAAGTTGCTTGCTGAAATACTCAGCACCAATAAATTAACAATACAGAGTGCAATACACATACTCCAACCACATGGCTCTGTCCCATCAGCTTCTCCATGATTGCATGTGACATGGTTGGGGATTTCTGCTCTTTGGGCATTTCTTTCCTCTTTAGGTTCATTGGTTTGAGGCAGTGACCTTTTCAAAGAATGGGGACGAGCTCTCAGAACTGCCCTGACTCCATCCCTGTACAGCACGGAGAACTCACAGCAAGGAGATATCACTGCTGGCTGAGTCCAAGAGAGGCAAGAAAGGAATGTTGTACCAAGACTGAGGAGCACAGGAATGTGTCCAAGTTGTAGTTCTCTCTGTTAATTAGCATTTGTTTTCTCTCTCTGGGCTCACAGACCCCAGCAGAGAAGAAAACAGAGGGATCTCCTGGACAGAGCCTCAGCAGTGGGGCATCTTCAGTCAAGTGAGCTCCAGACACCAAGGGACCTTTGTGGCCCTGGCTCCAGGGAGCAGGAAAGAACTGTACAGCCCTCAAGATTCCAACCAATCCAGAGCTTTCAAGAGAAGCCAATTCCTTTGGGAGAGATACCATCAACACATGGTAAACCAAAATCAGGGGACAATTCCCAGCACAGGAAGATTTCCACCATCCTGCAGAACAAAGGTGTGATGGTGTTCACAGGGGTCTTACGATGAGGGAAGAGACAAGGATCTGACTCCATGGTTCAGCAGGCTTGATTTATTATTTTGTGATAAATAATTTATTAAAACTACACTAAAAGAATAGAAGAAAGGATTTCATCAGAAGGCTAGCTAAGAATAGAAGAGGAAGGAATGATAACGAAGGCTTCTGTCCTGGACTCTCTGTCTGAGCCAGCTGGGCTGTGATTGGCCATTAATTACAAACATCCAACATGGGCCAATCACAGATCCACCTTGTTGTGGTGTGTTTTAGGTTTGTTCAGCTTTCCCCCCCATTGTTCTCTCAGAAGGTCCTGCCCTGTTACCAGTTTGTGTCAATCCCCAAACCCCTCCCCAGTTGTCTTGGTTACCAAATGTATCTTTCTTGTTCCCCACCCCTGGCAGCCTGCCTGTCACTTGACACCCCTGCCTCTTTTTCTAGAGAGTTCGGGCCAGGGTGTCGAGTGATTGGGTTAGGGGCCAGGGTCCCTCCCGCAACTGTGTTTGATGGGTTCTCCGATCATGCCAATCCTTAATGTATCCCTCTCTGATTTGCTATCTTTCACCCCTCCCACCCTCTGTAAAACCGAGGCTTTTCCCTGCCTCGGGGCTCTCAGCTTCTTCCACCGAAAGACTCCACGTTTCTCTACCAATAAAACCACCCCCCCGAAGAAACTGAGAGTCGCCTCTTCATTTCATCCTGCGACTTCGGAGCTCTTTACTGCGGCCACACGTCCGCAAGGCTTGACATCGCCTTAGGCACAAGGCCCTGACTCCGGGTTGGGGAAGTGCCTGACTGGCTGGAGGTTGGCTGGACACTTATCTAGCCTGGGCGTTTCACTTTTCACCGGCCACTGCTCCAGTTCTCAAATTAACAGCAATGCCCAGAGAATGGCATTGGTTTTGAAGTTTGTTCCCATCTCAAAGCAGCAACACATATGCCTTAACATCATCCACTGGAAGTCCCTTTACAAAACATAACACTACAGAGAGGCCAAAAGGAAGGCCATTCTTTGGTTTGCAAATGGTTTTCCATGAAGGGATTATAATCTCCTAATTCTCTTAAGGAATAAAAGCTCTCAAGGAATGAAGACCACTCAGTGTTACAACAGTAACCCAACTAAATGAGGAGATGGCAAAAGGGCCGATCCTCCCCCAGTACAGATCTCTAAGAGGCCAATAAAGTACAGCTCTCCCCTCTTGTTCCCTGCAGGAGAAACAGGACCAGTAAAAGAAATAGTCACAGATCTTCTTTCCGCCGTCCAACACCAAAGCTGTGCCAAAGCACAGATGCTGCCTTCAAACTGACTCAAATTCCAGCCTAGACCTCTCACCTTCCAGACAACTCCATCCCCAACGCGCCGCCCAACATCCACCCCCCCAAACACCCCCACAGAAGCCCGCAACACCCCACCAGGACCCCCAGCTGTGCCCGTCCCTCCGCAGAGCTTTCCCAGCCTCCAGCAGAGCCCCTGGTTCCCTGCACGTGCCGTGGGATGGCACTCAGGAGGATCTGCTCCAAGGCCTTCCCTGGCAGCAAAGCCAGGCTGCCAGGCCTGTGGTTCCTGGATCATCCTTCCCAGCCAGCCTTCCTGTGCACGGCTGCTCCATGGGCACATCTGCGCTCAGCTCAGACTGCTCCACTCAGCCAGGGCTGCTGAGAAAGGATCCAGAGCAGCCGGGCAAGCTCTTTCCCCAGCTCCCTCTTCACTCCTGGGGGAGGTAGAACATCCCACAGGAAAGCAACTGGTGCCACAAGGAGTGGGCGGCATCAGGCAGCTCTGGGGAGGCCCCTCAGGACTGTTGTATCCTGAGGGAATGCTGCTGGCATCCCCTGTGTGTATCTGCAAAAGCTTCAAATCAGCTGCCT